CCTCATAGCATATTTAAGAAGGACCCATATCCACCCCCTGGGGCCAAACATAAAACTCAGCCCAAATTGCAGCAAAACACAGACTCCTATGTTATCCCAGAGGCATTGGATTTTAAATGTCAACCAGTGCCTTACCTTTTGATGTTAGCAGTTTCCTCTGTTTACAGTTGGGAAGTTTTAGATTTAGAATGTTGCATCATACTAATGTTTATTATTGCACTGCAGTAATCTTACAGTAGCTGTAACTTTAGGTTATCTCTAATCAGGGACTGATTTAGACCTGGGAAACAGGCCAATAGAATCGTTGGTCAATCATTACATTACAGGTTACAGTACTGGTTACAATACAATACCGGTAATCAATCAATTAACTACCAGGGAAAAAAGAAAAGAAAACCAGCTGCACTGTGGTGTGAACTTCAAGGTTAGTATTTGAGTACCCTTGCAACAGTCTACATAGTGAGTGGCATGTAATCAAGGAGACTACTACAGTAGACCATGTCTCATTATTATACCTCAAAACATTGCCCATTCAAAGTTGCAGTTGAGTTATTAATTGATTTCAGCAACAGCCCCCTTCAATACACCAATCAGAACACACCGTCAGGAGCCTTATTTGAGCTTGTGCCACTTTAGTTCTGTCTAACTCTCATTGGAACACTACTATGACCTGATATGTCGTGTTATCATATTGATATGTGTGAATAGAATGTATGAATCACATAAAGCTCCATTGACATGCAGACTGAGTAATGTAACATTCTCATTGGAGCTTCGGGCCTTTACATTCTTAGATGTACTGTGTGAATTTGGCCTGGTTGGTACTTGAGTATCACTTTCCGTCTCTCACAAGTTATAGGGTCAGTACCCATGTCTATCTGTAAATCCATGTCTGGGAAGCCATGTCTGGAGCATCTTGGTTGGTTTTGTATGAATCATAACAGGGATTATTCCAGAATGTCTGTTTTGCTCTCATACTTAGTGCAGAAAAAACATTATGTTATGTTTATTTACCCCATCAATCCTGTCTAGGAAGACATTTTTACTGTGTATCTCTCAAATGTATAAAGAAATGGCTGGTTGAAATATGGTTGTTTGTCCTCGTTCAATTAACTAAATCACAAGATGGTAATACCACGTACCCCTGCACATTGACTCGGTACTGGTACTCCTTGTATATAGGTTCGTTATTGTTATTTTATTGCGTTACAATTTCCTTTTTTTTTTTCTTGTTTGCTAATAACTTTATTTGTATGTTATGTTTAGTTTTTTTACTTTACGTGACCTTTCCCAACTCTGCATTGTTGGGAAAGGTCACGTAAGTAAGCGTTTCACGGTAAAGTCTACACTATATTCGGCACATGTGACAAATAAAATAGGATTTGATTTTGATTACCACCCTGTCCATTGACAGGTTCCTGCTTTGCCAAGGATGTGACGTCAGTGTGACTCGTAATAGATGTTCACTAAAAATAGAAAGAAAAATGTAGACATACTGTTCTCAAATGCTCATTACCTCATCCTCTGCAAAGTGCATTTCATTACTTTCCTATTTCCTAACTTCAGTTTCTACTTGTTGCATTTTCCAGAATTGTGCCATGAGTAGCCCTCGAGGCAGCCTCTTGGAAACTCAGAACACTGCTTGGTCTGCTATTACAATGCTCTCAATGTGTATCATCTCATCAGACAGAGATGCTTCACTACTTCTTACTTTACTGAGTGTGTTTGTGTGTCTGTTCCAGTTTTCAGGGCTCTACCTCCTTTCCTTCCTCATCATCGTGCTGGGTCTGGTCCTCTACACCTCCTCCTCCACCTACGTGGCACAGGACCCACGCGTCTACAAGCATTTCCGCAACGCCGGCCACCCCATCACGGACACGCCCACTCTGGGGCCCCTGGAACCCTCGGTGACCTATACCAGCCTAAGGCAGGAGATAGAGGAGGAGCCTCGCATCAGAGTGGCCTGAGGGGGTGGGACCTAATCATCCACTGCCCCTCCTCCCCGGATTCTGTACAGAGAGAATGATCACTGAATGATACAAATATAATCGAAAACATGTAGCAAACAAGCAAAAGTACACTGTGATCGCAAACTGTGAATAGATAGCAGTGGCTATTTCTGATTTTGAAGATTTGTTTCATGTATAGAAATATATTGTTACCCCATCACGTTCCCTCGTACTGTACATTTGACATGTTTAGAAGGTTTTGTGCTTAATACTTGTGTAAATGCTCAATTGTGACTTTTTTTTATATGAGCACAAAACGTAATTGTATTTTAAGCTTTGAGTTTGCGCTGTGGGTTATCTCAGTGTTTTATTGTTCCCTCAAATCGATCTCTTTTTGTAAAACTCCCCCGTTAAAGCATCATGTCCAGAGATACGATAAAGTAATACACAGACTTAACATGAGTCAGTGCCTTACTATGTATTACTGTTGTGTGTTAGAGCCGCACATTATAAATGGCCCCTTCCCTGTAAGTCCAGCATTGTCCGAGGACATTAGATACTGATGAAGCCCCTCCAGTTATATTCATTTATAAACTGGGTGGTTCAAACCCTGAATGCTGATTGGCTGACAAAACATTTAATTTTACTGCTCTAATTACGTTGTTAACCAGTTTATAATAGCAATAAGGCACCTTGGGGGTTTGTGGTATATGGCCAATATACCACGGCTAAGGGCTGTATCCAGGCACTCCGCATTGCGTCATGCATAAGAACAGTCCTTAGCCGTGGTATATTAGCCATATACCACACCTCCTCGTGCCTTATTGCTTAAATAAACTCTACTTAGAACACTGTGGATTGCTTCTCTGCATTACATTTAGTCTGCCCTTACAACTACTAACCCACAGATATGACAACCTTCCATGTTGGAACCATTATCTCCTGAGGCAAATGGGTATAAAGACAAATATATCAGGATTCCTAATGGAGTGAAGTGATTATTGTACATTTGGTTCATTGTTGATATGTACACTGAACTGTAGTTGATTAAAAAAAATAAGACCTGATTGTAAAAATGTGATGATTACAATGCACTTGTCATTCCAGAATTGTGATGTTCTGTTTTATTGATTGTCCAGCTGTTGGACTGTATTTTAAGTGTGTTCCTTTTTATTCCCTGCTGGATTTGATCCAAAGCACATTAATGAAGTTATTTGGAACAGATTTCTTTCAAAGTATTATTATCCCCTGTTTTTTGTATTATATTTGATTTTGGTGTATTGGAGCACTTGCTGTCAGAAATGTTGCCTAAAATAAAGTTTATTTGTCTGAAACGCTGAGAATTCGGTTTTATTAAAAATCACACCACTCAAAACATGTTACCAGAAACACTCAAAAAAGTACTCAATAAAAAGGCTTTTCATAGCAATTTGGGGTTTCAGTGAAGATTCGTAGCAAATAAACACACAGAAACATGAGCACTATTTGCAACTGCATATTGTTGAGAGAATGGTTGGGCAGATACATTTATTATTACTTAGTCAGATAACCTCATCCAGAATTCATTATGGAGCTCATCGCTGTGCAGGTCCAGAACTAAAACACTAGAAGAGCAGGTCATGTTGAAACAGTCAACTGGTTAATTTAGTTGTTAATTTTTATTATATTCTAGAATACGGTATGTAGAACATTGTAACATTCATTTTGGCAGACCAAACAAATGCACTTTGGTCATAGGGACTTCAGATTGCAATATTTTTTTATATCGTTTTTTTCAAAACGTTATATGATATGCTAAAGTGGGTCTGCACATATGCAGCAGGATGTTATAACAAAATCAGTCTACAGGTAACTGCCAAAATAAAGCAAACACCAACATAGTGTGATAATAGGGCGTTGAGCTGCCAGAACAATGTGCCTTGGCATAGATTCTACAAGTGTCTGGAACTCTATTATTTGGCATTTGGTTGATAGTGGTGGAGAACGCTTGTCTCAGGCGCCGCTCCAGAATCTCCCATAAGTGTTCAACTGGGTTGAGATCTGGTGAAACACACACACACCCTTTGAAACCCCTATGCTCCTTTGAGACCCCTTTTTCAAAGTCACTGAGATGTAGTCAACATAATGGGCAACTGGGCATTTTTATACATGACCCTAAGCATGATGGTATGTTAATTGCTTAATTAACTCAGAAAACCACACCTGTGTGGAAGAACCTGCTTTCAATATACTTTGTATCCCTCGTACTCAAGTGTTTTCTTTATTTTCGCAGTTACCTGTATATGGAATATCAGAGAAAACACATCTCTTACTTTGCATACTGCATTGCACTTCAAATACAATACACAATCTTAACATTGCCAAAAGTTTAAAGGAAAGGTTGCTGTCTTGTGTTAGGCCTATAATGTACTATCAATATTCTGAAGATTGTGTTGGTACTTAGGCTGTAATTTGTTTAAATCACCAAGTTGAGTTAAAATAGTACTGATTACATGGGTAGGCCCATGGGTAGGCCTAAACCTTTTCGTCAACTTAAAAGTCCTCATATAGCAGTGGCATACTCTATGATGTAAACATAACATAATCTGCAGTTTTCCATAGGGAATTACCATTTTATATTTGCATGTTCTAAATGGGATTGGCTGTGGTAATGTATTAACTGTAAAAGGTTTTGTCTTTGTCAAATAGAGATGAGAGAAGTATGTAATTTATACAAGCTTCATCCTGATGATCACCACGCAATTAGTTGATAAGTCAATTTTACCTAACGTAATGGTAGGCTACCTACATACATTATTGAATGGTACGGCCTGAACAGGTGCGCTTGATTTAGATCGCCCCGGGTCAGTTTGCACTTTGGAAAAGCCTATTCGTCATTTGGTAGTTCACTGCGCGAACCCCACTCACTCGGCGCGCCAGGCAAGCTCAATCAAGCGTCCATCGTGCCCAGGTGTAAAACTCCCTGGTGATTTCCCCGTTTGACTGGCACAATGGTACGTTCCTAAACTTTAAATCCCTCTCAAGCATGGGCGACTTTGGCAGGTGGCAAACATGGCACTCCACTACGGTAGTTGGGAGGATGAGTTGCAGGGACAGTTCTCGCTTTTATCCGCGACTTCGTTTGAGGTCAAAGAAGAAAGGGAGCAATGGGAGTACACACATGGAAGCTCAAACACGGGGATACTAGACTTGAGTGACGAAGTCTTTATTCTCATCCTACGACGGCTGGATCCCACGTCTCTTTTGAGAGTTGGGAGCACCTGCCGAACCCTGTTTCGAGTTTGTTCCTGCAACTCACTGTGGACAAGACACTTCCAGGTAATGTAAAAATGTATATTGAATTAGTAGTATTAGACTTAGTATTTTGAGATAGACCCGACATTTGCTGATCCTCTTGTGAATGAATAAAGTTGTTAGGTTATGCATTGCACCAACAAACTTACAGATTGTTACACGAGAATATGATTTAACCAAGATGTTTTGTATATATTACTGGCAGTTACAGGATGGGTACTATTTGGTGTAGTACAGAGAATTTTCGACCAACTTTAGCGATACTGCCTTTGCCCTCGATTCGTGGAAAGAGTATCCATGTCGTGTCCACTTGCAGTGGGTCCGTTTGAATGTAGAAAATGCTCAATTAAAAATACTCATTTTTTGCTCCATGAAGTAATCCAACAATGAATGTGTATGTTGCGATCTTGTCTTTTTCATTTCCTCATTGAAAGAGACTGGTGGGTGTCTAGACCAATATCGGACCAAAGGCCTTTACCGTTACTTATAGTCCAAGGCCCATACATATTCTGTTTAAAGGCGGAATTGGCTCTGGAAGCCAAAACAGTCAAATACTCAAGCTGAACGTGACTCGATTCTCAATTGCTGTACAGTTCCGGAAACATAAATCCTATCTACTTTTTTAAATCACATTTAAAATAATTTCAGATGCAAAATGCACACTTACAGTACACTGTTTTAAGCTGCAGCTGACAGTATTTTTCAGTGACAACACGTTTGTGGGGTCGTACTAATTAGCCATCTGCGTCGATTTGGAGAAACAGATGGCTAATTAGCACAGGTAGGCTGTTTTCTGTAGACATGCTCTGTAACATGGGAATATGGCGTTGTGGGAACCCTAACCCTATAAAGGTGTATCAATTGAACCATTTTGTTTTTGAAAATGATTTCTCACAGATATGAAAGATGAGGTTCTTATGCTTCCAAAACCTTACCGCAAGCCATGCCTGTTAATATTCAGACCCAGCGTCAGGGCTCTTAAAGCTGCAAATTGTAACTATATGTGTGACTGACAAATTCTTATAGAAATGTCAATCTGTTTTTCTCAATAAAAGCAAGTATAAGAAGTGGTAGATCTATTCTATTTGTGGCATTTTTTATATGCTTTCCATTAAGTTTAGTTTGTCTTAGTTTCAGTTTTGTACACCAGTTTAAACTACAATATCTTTGGTTATGGAAAAGAGATTTCACAGCGGTTTAGATGGCACAATGATTCGCTACACTATCTTGCTGCTTGTTTTGTCACAAACTGAAATTAAGCAGACTTGGAATTTCATCAACCAGGAAACATAGTGCATCTTTAACAAAACTCCCCTGTACAGAAGACCCCTCCATCCAATGACTTATGTGTAATGTAATGGAACTGAGTCATGATCAAGTGCTAGTGGGTGTCCACCCCAAGGTGCTGCATGTCATAATGACAAAAACCTTTCTCGATCAATGAGAAGATTTGAAATGGACAAGATGGCGGCGTACACATTGTTGGATTACTTCATGGAGTAAAACAAAATCTATTAAAAAACGTTCATTTTCTCAATTCAAACTGACCCCCTGCAACTGGAAAGACATTTTGAGATGTGTTTCCATGAATTGAGGATGAAGACTGTATCGCTGAGGTTGGTCAAATTCTGTGTTACACCAAACCGTACTGATTCTGTAACTCCTAGTAATGGATACCAAACATCTTTGGTTAAATCACATTATCTGGTGTAACAATCTGTAGCTAGCATTGCACGTTCACTTGTAGGCTTTTTCATCTCTCTACGCAGACCTCATTTGGAGTCCCGTTTGCCACCGCCACCTGCTCCATCTCTGCCAAGAGTGTCTTCCGTTTGATCTTCATGTGGCGAACTCTCTTCAGAAACCTGCACTGTAACCGGTCTCTTCAGGAGAAGCTCTTTGCAGAGATCCCATTCCCACCACACAAGTACTGGGTCCAGTGGCTGGTTCTGGAAGAGAATGTTCCTCTGCCCTCAGTGAGACTGCCCTGCACCGACATAGAGAGCTTATGGGGAATTGAGAAGGAAGTGTTGGAAGGTAAAGTCCAAGGTGAGTTCATTTATTTTAGCAGTTTGGCTCCTAGGCATTGCCACCCCTTAATATTAAAACATGTGCACCTGCCACTTCTCGTGAAGATAGTCATGCAGATGCGGGCAGTACAGGAGCATCATGGCAAAAACTGGCCAATAGTCTTCCCCCAGACCATCAGGCTGCTGAATAGCCACCACTAGTCAGCTACCTGCTCACACTGTACCCCTCCTGCACCACTGGACTTCTCTCCCCCCCCCCCCCCCCCCCCCAGTGGTCATTTAACATGTTACAGTTGTAAATGTGTATTTTTGTTTCATTCTTCCCTTTAACCTGCACTTTTGGAGCTCGGCGCTTAACCTCTTCACTGTAGCCTGCATTTACATCTGCAACCCTGTGCGTGTGACTGAACTCTAAATCTGAAAAAGTTTGTCAGGTAGTGGAGGAATGTTGTTCACTTGAATATTGAAACGGTTTTGTTCTTTGGCAGACAAAGATGATGATGATGATGATGCGGGCAGAATGCTGAAGTTTGAATGGAAGGAGCTGTATGCCTTGGCTCTTGAGCATCATGGAAGCATTGCCAAGCTTTTCCAGCATGTTCTCAACCAACAGAGCAATGGTAGGTCATATGGGGCATACCATCTTTAGCTTGGTACTTTTTGTTCAGTCCATATGCTGTTAATTGGCTAAAGGTGGGGTATTTTTGCTGGGATCAATTTTAAGATGTGTCTGCTTTCTACAGCCAGTTATGAATTGTAATTAATCTCTTGACTGTGACCGCAATGGAATTCAAAGGTGGTAATGTCCTTTATTGCCTTCTAAGAGCCTGCTGCCATTTGTTATTCAGATGGACTTTTTGGCAGTGCAGATGAAGGCTCCTGACTGTTGTGCTGTATTACTGGCCAACTTATTTGTGAATTCTGGCCAAAAACATGGCTGTCCCAATGGGTAAAGAAAATGTTTAGTAATTTTTTTTTAAGTTGACACCACACCTATAAGCGATGACTTTATTTCATCTTCAAAACAGAGCTCTGCTCTTACTCATCATACTCAGTCTCTTGAATGTTGTACTGGGAAGCACAAAATTGCCATTTTACTCTGGAAAACCTTTGAGCTGTATCCCCTTGCTGGATTTTGGTTTATTACAGAAACTGTCTGTTTTATGATGGAAGACATCAAGGTAAAAAAGCGTCTCAATTTATTTTGCTCTGCTGAGCCGCTTCAAAGTGTTTTTATCAGCTGGTGATATGGGGAGCGGAAACTAGACGCATAGTTTGTCTGACCTGTCACCCTCCGGATTATGAGTAATGTTTTACCCTCTGGACTGAAGCACTAGCCCTGCCTGTCATATACCATCTGAAACCAACAGCCTAGTCCAATAGGCAGGGCAATGTTTAGGGCAGCTAATGGCCTACAGGCCTTACTTGTATTTATATGTTCAATTTAATGATCCCAAAATAATTACACAAACTCTAAATTACTTTGTGGCAGACAGGCATCGATCTGTCCATCGATAAATGAGTCCTGTTTTCCCTGTAGCTTTTAGACTCAGCTGGCTTTAGATGGGGACTGTTGTGATGGCCATTTATTGGAACATAAATGCAATTTTACATTTGACATGCAGAGCATCCACTTGTGCTAAAGGTTTCTACCCTGATGCAGACTTCTCTCCCCTCTCCTACCCTACCAGACCACTGTGAGCTGGAGGCCATGTTCAGTCAGTACAGCCAGTGTCGGTTCCAGTGGCTCTTCACCTATTGGTTGTTCCGCCAGCCAGCGCCCTTTGACAGGCAGCTCAGGGCCATCTACCTGCAGTGGCGGAAGCACAACAAGAGGAAGGTGGCGTCCTGGGGAGGCACGTTGTGTGACATCAGGTACCTGGCCTCATTGCACCACATCACCACCGACTACTGGAGGGGCAAGCTGGCCCGTGGTGACGAGACTGTGGGTAAGTAGCAGATGTTGCTCCTCACCCTATAATTTTATTCTGCTGTGTTAATGTTATGCACAGTCATGACACACTCTTATTTGGAGTGGATCAAATCTTTAGTTTTTTTCTGGATTTGTTTTAGAACGGTGCCCCCTCAGGTCATAAATATACTTCGCTCATGTTATATTCATTTTCTATGCCCCAAGAATATCATACCACCTTGTCTTATGACTGTTAATGATATAATGTATTTATACATTAATTGGACCAGTGAGTATAGGGCAATGAATAAGCCTCGCCATGCACAGAGGCTCTTCTATGTCGCGTTACCCTGTGGTGCTCCGTTGTCTGTTGTACTTTGACAGGTCTTGTACAAAGCCTCCCGTGATCAAATGGCTCAGCATGGAGCTCTCACGGCTGTTGGCTTTCATGTCAAGTATCTATTCTCCTTCCTCCCAGGAATTCAGACTGTGGACAACTATTTCTCCATGTGTAAGTCACTGGTGGCCTGGATTTTAGGGCGTGACTGGGGCAGATTGAAACGCAAGAAGGTATGTTAAAGGAGCTTTTTTCTGTATGACCTTAAATGACTTGGTGTCAGGCAAAATGAGTGTAGTGTACCTACCAACACGAGGGCTCAAGCTGTGTTTTTGCCCACAGCATTTGTAGCACCATGCTGAAAAAAGTCATAGGTGAGACGCCTTCAGACTGCTTGTATACAAATGACATCTTGCCATCTATTCAGTGGTGTCTTTAGTATTCCATCAGTGCATCTCCTTCCATTAAGAATCTCCAGAGCATTAGCTCTGTGCTGGTGATTTCACAAGTCACAGATTGAACAGGCAGCAGGAAGCTCCCAATCTCATGTAATGGGCTGCTAAATGAATTATAGACCTATCAGTGCATGTCCCACTCAATTACACTTCATGTGTGAATACAGTTGAGCTGCAAGAATGTACTCCATAGCCAGCAATACAGTCAAGGACAGTGTTACCAAGAAAATAGAAAACAACAGATTGGCACGTAAACAGTTTATGGAAGCAATTATGACTGGGATTATTTGCTCATCTGGTTTACTTAATGTATAGAAATGGAAAACCACTTGTGAAATGTAGACTCAGCGACATGACGTTGCCACGAGCAGCACCGCAGATGTTGAGATGAGCGAGATGCAAGATGTTGCTCTGTCACACAGTATTTGCGCATGTGCACGGTTTCGCTTCACGCTGTTACAGCGTGGTAGCCACGGAAGTTGAGCCTCAAGCTTCAATGTTCTTAGTAGTTGCAGAATTTACACTATGCTGTTTACGTTCTGCATCGGTCATATCGCTAAGTCTACCTTAACTTTTGCATGACCGTAGCCTCAATGACATCCGTTCAGATCATCAAAGCTGGTTTCAACTCCCCTGGTCCATAATCCCTTCATAATGACTTAACTTTTTTGATTAGCCTGTTGTATTGAGTTGTTACTGTGTTACCTGCTCAGTGTACTTGTATACTTTGAAACGTTAGTATTTTATTAGTCTCTCTCTATGAAATGTTATGTGCGGCTATTTTGACATTTCTCTTGAAATAGATTTTTAATCTCAATGAGACTAACCTGGTAAAATAAAGAAATACAGACGTGGACACCCCTTCAAATTAGTGGTTTCGGCTATTTCAGCCACACCCGTTGCTGACAGGTGTATAAAATTGAGTACACAGCCATGCAATCTCCATCGACAAACACTGGAAGTAGAATGGTCTTACTCAAGAGCTCAGTGATTTTCAACGCGGCACCGTTCTAGGAGTGGTGTAAAGCTCGCCGCCATTGGACTCTGGAGCAGTGGAAATGCGTTCTGGAGTGATTCATCACACTTCACCATCTGGTGGTCCGACAGACTAATCTGGGTTTGGTGGATGCCAGGAGAACGCTACCTGCCCGACTGCGTAGTGCCAACTGTAACCTTTGGTGGCGGAATAATGGTCTGGGGCTGTTTTTCATGGTTCGGGCTAGGCCCCTTAGTTCCAGTGACAGGAAATCTTAATGCTACAGCATACAATGATGTTCTAGATGATTCTGTGCTTCTGCACAGAGCCTTGACCTCAACCCAATCGAACACCTTTGGGATGAATTGGAACGCCGACTGCGAGCCAGGCCTAATCGCCCAACATCAGTGCCCAACCTCTAATGCTCTTGTGACTGAATGGAAGCAAGTTCCTGCTGCAATGTTCCAACATCTAGTGGAAAGCTTTCCCAGAAGAGTGGAGGCTGTTATAGCAGCAAAGGGGGGGGGGGGGGGGGACCAACTCTAATATTAATGGCCATGATTTTGGAATGAAATGTTTGATGTCCACATACTTTTGGTTTGGTCATGTAGTGTTTTATTTTCGCTATTCAGCTTTTAGCTGAACTAAAACGTAAGATGTAGTGTTTGATGCTCCTAAGTGTTACTGTATGTGGTGACTGAGTTCAGGTGTATGAGGACACACTGGAGGGTGTGTACCTGCTGCTGAGGAGGGAGATGCAGGAGACCCTGGTGGAGCATGAGAGGTTCTGGCAGGTGGCCAAGGTCCAGATGACCCGAGTGTGCACCTTGGAGGAGACTGCCGCGAACTACGTCAACTGGAAGATGATTGAGACACTGCCCTACTACAAGTATGTTTCTGTGTTCCAAAGTTTGGGACTCGTAATCAGGATTTCAGATGCTTATTGAGGGAATATGGGATTACTGGTTGGGTTTGGAAGAAAACTGTTAGCTAGAAAAGCCTCTTGACCTCTTAGCAGTCACTGCTTGACTTCAATAACCGTCCCATTTTCAAAAAGTGTCCTTTGGTTTGGCTCATATCCTGGGCTACCTGATGAGAATTCGGCCCATAAGACTGTTGCGTGTGATTAGCTATAAAGTGATTATATTCTACTATTAAAAAGTGAGAGTTGCGCTACTTGAGGGGCGTGCTGCTGGTATGCTCTTTGACAGGGCTTTGAAGCCTGGGTGAAAAAGTGTTGAGTATCGGGGCCCTGGTGGTAGCTTCAAACACAGCGCCCGCAGCGCAGCACCCAGCGCTAGCCACTGTCAGTCGATGATGTTTGAACTTAAAGACCGCTCATCCCCTCGACCTATACAGTGAAGTTCATCAGAAGCACTCAAACCCAGAGATGAATGACATTTTTCCAAATTGTGTTTTTCCCCTGCCTTAAGGGGAGAGGAGCTGAAAGAAAGCCCTGACTGGCTGCAGGACTGAATTTAATGACTGCTTGAGAATAAAAAGCCTTTCACAATGGTATTATCAATGTAATATTTAAAATGCCCTTAGTATTCAGAGCATCTATCCTGGCTGGGTGAGTCACTTAATATTCTGATAATCCACATTGACACTTTGGCAAGATAGGTTGTTAGCATAACGTGAGCTCTCTGAAAGTTACTTTGGCCACAGCACTTTCCTCCTCCATCACAGTAGACATCCCTAGAGATTTGGGTCTTGAATATAATGAACAGTTTCTTCTAAGAGATGACAAATCGCCTTCATGGTGTTATCCATTTTATTTTTTACTCTGTATTCTTGCACATGCTATTCTCCAGTCCCTATGTGGTTTGATAATGTGAAATGTGTCCCTGCGTCTAAAAGAATGATGTGCATATTAGCGATTGGCTCAAAGAAACTGAAAATACTCTTTCCTTGCTACTCCAAAGGGTCTCAATACGGGGCCACCCACCTGTTCATATCTGCATTTTCTGTGTTTTGTTTCACTCTAATTTCTTTTTGTATCAGGAACATCTGGAATGTATTATCTGTCATTCTTTAATATGCATTCATTTTAGCGAGATTGCCATTAGAACTGGCTGAAGTGTAACTCTCTGGCCATCCCTCAGGCTGTACATGGTGTCAGGCAATGTGGTGTACCTGGACCACGTGCAGGGCTTCCTCCACAGGAAGAGGCTGGTCCAGGACTGGATCTTCATGAAGGAGAACACCTGGGTCAGACAGCTGCTGCCTGGTGACCTCTACCCTCTGCTGGAGTTTGACACCAAGCTCTCCCAAGGTATAGTAGGACCTCTGTTCTCCTGTATATATCCACCCTATCAGCCACAAGGTTGTTCTCCAGTAGACAGTGTACAGAACATTAGGAACCTTCCAAATATTGAGTTGCACCCCCTTTTGCCCTCAGAACAGCCTCAATTCGTTGGGACATGGACTCTACAAGGTGTTGAAAGCGTTCCACAGGGATGCTAGCCCATGTTGACTCAATGTTTCCTACAGTTGTGTCAAGTTGGCTGGGTGTCCTTTGGGTGGTGGACCATTCTTGATACACACAGGAAACTGTTGAGCGTGGAAACCCAGCAGCATTGCAGTTCTTGACACAAACCGGTGCGCCTGGCACCTACTGCCATACCCCATTCAAAGGCTCTTAAATATGTTTTGTCTTGCCCTTTCACCCTCTGAATGGCATACATACACAAACATATCATCTTTAACCTGTCACTTTCACCTGGTCAGTCTGTCATGGCAGGTGTCCATAATATTTTGTACACTGTATACTCCCCCACCACCCAATCAGCTACAGAAGGTTGTGTTTTCCAGTACACCCACCCCATCAGCCACAAAAGGTTGTCTCTGAAGACTCCAATGCTTAAATTTCCCTCTTTCTATTGAGTTTTTCAAAGCTGTCCTTTCTCATTTAGTTTCTTACTATACTGAACAAAAATATCAATGCAACGATTTTACGGAGTTACAGTTCATATAAGGAAATTAGTCAATTGAAACAAATTCATTAGGGCCTAATCTACGGATTTCACATGACTGGGCAGGGATGCAGCATGGGTCATGGGTCACCAGCCAATCGGAATGAGTTTCTCCCAACAAAAGGGCTTTATTACAGACATAAATACTCAGTTTCATCAGCTGTCTGGGTGGCTGGTCTCGGATGATCCCGCAGGTGAAGAAGCCCAATGTGGAGATCCTGGGCTGGCGTGGTTACCCGTGGTCTGCGGTTGTGAGGCCGGTCGGATGTACTGCCAAATTCTCTAAAACTACATTTGGCGGCGTCTTATGGGAGAGAAATGAACATTACATTCTCTGGCAACAGCTCTGATGGACATTCCTGCAGTCAGCATGCCAATTGCACACTCCCTCAACTTGAGACATCTGTGGCATTGTTGTGTGACAAATCCACAAATTTTAGTGGCCTTTTATTGTCCCCAGCACAAGGTGCACCTGTGTAATGATCATGCTTCTTGATATGCCACACCTGTCAGGTGGATGGATTATTTTGGCAAATGAGAAATGCTCACTAACAGGGATTTAAACACATTTGTGCACGATTTTAGAGAAATAAGCTTTTGTGCGTCTGGAATTTCTGGGGTCTTAATTTTAGCTCATGAAACATGGGACCAACACTTTTTACATGGGTTTTTTTATATTTTTGTTCAGTATAGTTTAACTTTGTAGCGTTGAGGTAGATTTTTCAGCCTTTAAGGGCTCTATTCAATCTGCATCGGAAGTTCAGGTTTACAGCCCGATTTGCCTTTTACATTTCAATGTTCCCACTTTAGCGGAGACTACGTTCACGTTAAACGCTGCGTATGTCGGCACCATCTGAAATGACCTTTACATTTCTATCGCTGAATCTTTAATGCTTCAGCTTTACAGATTGAATAGAGCCCTACCATGATATTGATCGTAATCAGTATTTGATTGCGACAAAACAAATGTTATTGGGTGGTATGCATTCCTCCTACTGTACAACGGGAGGAAATCCCCTCCAGGGTGGGAGGTATTGAATGCAAGTGGTTTTACATCATTTACCCTGGGCTGTGCTACAGCCATCCATCATTGGATCCCGAGTGGCGCAGCGGTCTAAGACACTGCATCTCAGTGCTTGAGGCGTCACTACAGACCCCCTGGTTCGATTCCAGGCTGTATCACAACCGGCCGTGATTGGCAGTCCTATAGGGCGGCGCACAATTGGCCCAGCGTCGTCCGGGTTTGGCCGGTGTAGGCGATCATTGTAAATAAGAATTTGTTCTTAACTGACTTGCCTAGTTAAATAAAGGTAAAATAAATAAATTGGCCCTGGCCATGAGGTTGTCAACCCTGTAAAATGCCTTAATTAGGATTTAGTACCTTGGCCTGCCCATGGCAGACTGACCCATGGTCCTGATGATCATAGATGGACACAACCAAAGAGGCCATTTGTCTTGTTTACAAGCTTCAAATAATGGCTTTTCAGGTCTGTTCCTTCTGCTGCACCTGTAGTGCTTCCAATACACACAGTATGTGTTCCTAGGAGGGTTTCCTGTAGTGGATGGCTACACAAATGCTTTTTTTTTTTCTTATACACAGGCACACAAAGGTGTGGATCTGCCAATATTGTCCTGGTTTGGTTGGAAGATGTGGTGTTTGCATGGCATTCAGTACGGTTGATGTGGTTTGTGGGGCTATTATGTTTCTGAGGGTATAGTTTGATCTTCACTGTTGTGATGTGGTCTACTGATATGTTGCGGGGCTATTGTCTGACCGTGTCTCCCTTTACAGACAGCCTGCATGGCGACTCCATGCCAGCCCAGCTGAGCAGGGTGATCTGGCTATACCTCCACTCTGGACAGCCGCTCTACCTGGAGGCAGTGAAAGGCCTGGTGCTGCAATGTGCTCAGGCCAGTCTGGGCCACTTCTGCAGCCTCTCCCCTGGCCTCTCCATACAGCCCCATGTCAGCTAGCTGGCTAACGCAGATTGACCACCAGACCACTGTTTTTAGACACTCTACGATGTACAGTACCCCTTTTTATATATTTTCTTTACTGGACCCAGTGTCCACAGTGCTTTTTCTATCACATTCAGCTTTTAGCTAGGGCTGGTGAGATGGAATTGCTCTTGATTTTAAATGACTTTTTAAACTTTTTAATCTTGATGTGCAGTAGTTTAATTGATTTTATGTACTTTGTAGTAACCTAGATTGTAGAAACCTTGTTTGCTGTCATGTAATTATGCTACAGCTAACATTTGGGCCAAACCACTGACATTTTTTAAATTGATCAATCATTATTCTCCTCAAATGGTGGTAGTGAATTGATTCAAAGCCTAACAATGCTTGGCCAATTTAACAACAAAGGCTAAACTTGTAACAGTGCTGGGTTGCTGTATAATGAATAAAACAACTCATTGACAAACTGATTTTTTTATTTTCTGAATTGTCTGATTAGAAGTAGTATATAGCTGAGTATATTCCACCATATTGGCCTAGAGAACACACTCACAAACAGTTATAGAAAAATATTTTATTTGCAATCTGTACAAATGACAATCACACCTTAAAAAATTCAAAAATACTTTTAGGAACACTGTATATAAATAAACCTTTTGGCATTCATAAAAACTAGCTGCAAAACTAAACGCTTAACATTAGAGAAATTCCTATGTACAGTAAAGCCAACCAGTGGCTCCTAGTCCAGTGCGCACAGCCATGACAACCACACCCATTTTCCTTTAGATGAGCACAACACTATAGCCTCACCATAGACCTACACGTCACAATGGATGCCATACATGGTGCCTAACTGTTCTGTGCATCTGAGTACATTCTTCAGGTTTCACAAGAGCCTGCTATGGCTTTACTTTACCTGAGTGGCACTATATATAAATATTCTTAGCATTTCTGTAATCATACAGTGTAAAGGGTAGCCTAATGTCCTTCAGTCCTATTTACATATGATGCAGAATAGTTAGTTACACGTCAATAGAGATATACAGGCGCTCTTATCTGCTGCATAGATTTAAAGGCACAATAACATTTCATATCTGCTACTGAATGGGAGGCGCTAGCTGGTGCATGTGACATTGCATAGTATATTAGTTGCCATCTAACACTTAGGACTAGATTCACTCTGTACTGCTGAAGACCTGTGCAATTTAACAGCAATGTTTGCAGAGACTGCAATCATGGTAAACGCTGCATATGTCAGCCCAATCGGAAATTGCCTTTACATTTAAATGGCGCTATAACTCGGATCTTCAGTGGTATGGTTTGAATCTAGGCCTGAGTCAACCTTTGTTCCTTAGCTTAACCTGCCAAAACATTTTACATAGCTCATACACGTTTCCTTTTTTAAAGATTGGGAATACGACTGTATAATAGAATACTCTGCAATGTAAATTGTTCTTAGCACAACTACATTTAAGTCCATTTAAAACCGGTTACTTCGAAACATGCTAAATATACTTGGCTCTAAACTGATTACCATTTCTAACACCATTTGTCACCAGGATAAATGACAGTATCTGTAGATACATTATAACCTTATAGCAGGGTTTCCCAAACGTGGTCCTCGGGACACCAAGGGGTGCACATTTTGGTTTTTGCCTTAGCACTACACAGCTGATTCAAATAATCAATCTTGAGTTTGGGAAACCCTGCCTTATAGCAAACAGTAATGTGTTGGTTGTCATGACCGGCTCGCTAAAATTCACTTTCCAATTAGTTTGAGATCAAGCAAGAGGAGTATTCCTATGACAAATAGTGGGAACGACAGCAATCGATCAAAGAAGTAAAACAGAATAACCAATGATTACACCATGGATCCATTACTCTAAAGAGCCCCCTCTACTGTGTGGTAGAGGTTGGAGGCCTATATTGACTGAATAAGATACGAGTCCCAGTAGGTAATGTAATGTGTGCCTACACTGTAGAAGTGATGCCTTTGTTTTTTTTTTGCATTAGGTCTACAGTCTCAATCAAATAGGTGTCTATGGCTGCGTTTAGACAGCCCAATTTTTTTCCTTTTTTTCTTTTGAACAATCAGCTCTGAGAAAGATCTGTGATTGGTCAAATGACCAATTAGTGGATAAAAGATCAGAATTGGGCTGCCTGTGTAAACGTAGCCCATGGAACTCATGGGAGGCAGCATTAAGCCCTGACCTTACCACAGTCATTTTGAGCTCCTAAAAACAATTCCTGAATTTAATTTGGTTAGAAAAACACCTGAATATTACCTGATGGGTTAATATATTGCTTAAGATATTCACCAATACAACAGCAAATAATATGAATGGGGGTATTATTGCCATGCTGTCATTTCCTTTTCATTAAACATAACTATCCAAATAATCAGTCTGGGGAGATCCACATCACTGAAATCTTCCATTGAAAACCATTCATTTCCCAAATGCCGAACCATTTGCACACAGGCCCACACAGAAGAAACGCCCATAATGACAAGGCCCACACAGAAGAAACGCCTATAATGACAAGGAACCGGAAATACTGAAATGGAACGCAAGCAGTCATCTTGGTTGGCCAGTTTGTTGTGGAAGTGTGGGCATGTTGTGGAGCCAAGGGAAGAAGTGCCACTACGCAGTGTCGACTTGCGACTATGAGCAACAGCTGAGGGAGTTTGTCTTTGGACAACACACGTTGCGGAGATGATGTGTGAGAGGAGAGCCATGGGTTGCCGTTGGAGACGACTTAGGAAGAGGACAGCTGGTTAGTGGAGAAGCAGTCACACACGAAGGCACTTGACAGCAGCAGTGAGTCAGTTTCCTACTGGCCGGTGAGATTGTGTGGGAGTGGCCAAACATACGCTCATACTCCCTTCTGTGCATCTATGAGGCCAGGGGTCTCCAGGTCTAAATAAGTCTGTCCATGAAGCGATGTACATGATCATGCAGGAATTCATTCTATTACACAGGAAGCACAACTGACATTTGAAAAATCAAAACATCCTATTTAAAAGACTTTCTTGTAAACTTTATTCACAGCTTGATCCTACATTCAGAAAGCTGGAGATGGATACCTCCATCACGTAGAACTGGATAAAAAAGAAAAAACTGCCTCTTGACACAGTATCTAGTTTATTATTCATTTTTTAACGCTGTTCTTCCTGGTTGTCCTCCAATCAGGATTTTTCCTGTCCTCACTGGCTGTGAAACCGTAGCCCTGGGGAGAAGGAGGGAGTGGGCACGCCATCGCTGGGCGGTGACAAGAGAAGACGGGCGTTGGTGCCCCTCATGGCTGGTGTATCATTGTCATTGCGTCACACAGTTGTCGCCCATGTCCTGTGCGTAGCGGTCAGAGATGGCGGTGCGCAGGTCGTCAATGTCCTTCCTCAGCTTGCCAACCTCCAGCAGCTTGGCCCGCAAGCTGTCCTCCACCAGAGAGTTGTCATTCTCCTCCCCTGACATGCTCATCGCTACGGGGGTCAGAGAGTCAAACACACTAAAATCTGATGGGCTTTAGCTCAAATCTACCATTGCAAGATTTCTAATTCTGTCAATGAGCATCATGTTGGACTGAGTGAGTGTGAAATACGCTCGATTTTGAGATGCTGAGTGTATGTGTATCTTCTGTCAGGTGTGTATTTTTAATCATACTGTGGCTGTGCAAAAGGTTCTGTCGAGTGTGTGTACTGGGTACTCCAGTGAGGTTGAAGGGGGGAAGTGACAGCTCTTTTATCTAGTCTAGAGTGAAAGAAGTGTACATGTATTCAGAGGAGCTTCTTGTTGTGAGCTGACAGCCTGGACAGCCTGACTCCCCCTCTGTGTTCTTAGGGGAAATAAGTGCATCCTACTGCCGACGTGGACAGAATAGAAGGTGGGACCAAATGTCACTTTCAAAAGGAATTCAAGTAATTTGACATCACAAAGATGGTTGGGAAGTCTTCATTAACTGTAAGGTAGCTAGTGAAGTAACATCTTCCTCAGTGGAAAAACCCAATTACTGTTGATGCCAAAAAACTATGAAGTAGATATTCAGTAGCCTACAACTGAGTAGATTAGCTAGTCCGAGAAGCGGATGTGGGGTTTGCATATGGCAGTAGTTTGTGGGAGGTGTGTGTGTGCAGATAGGAGAGGCCGGAATTCAATCCGATCGTTCTTTGTAATGTTTCTGCGTTTGCGGAGACCACATTCACTGTAAAACGGATTGAATCCCGGCCTAAGAGGTTTAAACCAGACATATCTACTTACATTTGATGCCCAGTAGCAGTGCCAGGTTGGGCTCCTTGCCCTGTGTCATCTGGGTGAGGATGCTACAGAGGGCCTTGAGGTCCAGCAGACACAGGGACATCTCCTTCAGCAGGGGCCCTGCCTCTGGCCCCTGGTCCCCACAGCCCTGACCAACCACCACGCCATCCTCCAACTGCCTTTGGCTCTGCAGAAACACACATAGCTTAGAGACCAACACTGGGTTTATTATCAAACACGGACGCAAATTCAGCAGAGCTCAGGAGTGTTCAGTAAATTAATGTAAAACACTAAATCCACCCAATATTAATAGGATTTTGGCACCAGTTCAGAGTAGATAAAGTGTTGCTGAATTGAGAGACAAATTGGCTAAATCCTTTGTGCTGAAAAGCGTCCTTTTGTATTCTCTGTCACTGCAAGATTGCATTTATTAATAAATACACATTGTAAAACGCTGGAGAAGGGCATTTAGTCGCACGCAATTAAAACTATGACAGTCATACTATTATTTCTGAACAGAAATGGATTTGTCCATTACAGTGTACTTTTGTGTTACATTTGTATTAAAACTGTGAACTTGAGAGGGAGAACTGCTGAAGAGCTGCTCAGTGTGTGTGCCTCTCCCTGTGTGTTCTCCCCTGTAACCTGTGTGGATCATCAACACTTCCAACACCCTCTCTCTGGCTTTCCTTTGAAACAGAACAGTTAAAATATACACTTTCAAATGAGTCTCTCTAAATGTCTCACAGAATACCAAGTAGAAAATTAGAATAATAATCACCATCATTATAACTCAACAGGATAATGTGGTATCGTAGCAACACTAACACCCACAGAGGGGGCAGAAAGGTAATAGTTGTTGCAAAGTCATTTTAGGACCGATTATCCAACTTCTTGCTCTCCCAAGATGGAGGCCATTTCACCACTAAAAGTTCTCTCTTTCATCTCCATTTCATCTCCATGTAACGAAAGGCACCCACCCATGTGGCTCAGTTGGTAGAGCATGGTGTTTGCAATGCCAGGGTTGTGGGTTCGATTCCCATGGGGGACCAGTACGAAAAAGTATTCCCTCACTACTGTAAGTCGCTCTGGATAAGAGCGTCTGCTAAATTACAAAAATGTAATGCTGGGAGTGAAATCGCTCTACACGGTGCTGGAGGGGACATAGAGTATGTGTCCAGGTAAATACCCAGCTTCCAACATTCACGAGCCACACAGATTAGTGGAGGGCACGGTCAAATTAAAACCAGTGATACTACGTAGACTACCTCATCTTGTCATGTCTCTCTGTCCCTTCAGACACGAGCTGCCTGGGAGTCACACTGCAGAGCCAGGCAAGGTCAGCCAGCCAACACTCCTCCATTCTCTCCAAACCAGCAACCTTCCCTTGTGGGAGCCAGGCGGCGGAATCTTCCAGCTGATAATTGCCTTTTGTGTCCCTGTCAGAGGGATAACGTATGGTGCTGTGGCGTCAGCCGTGTGTGTGTGCACTCTACCTCTCCTATGTACAGGAGACACACACACATTCCCACCTGCATGAATTCAGACCTTTTAGCGCCAGGCTCATCCTCACCTTGAGACGGGCGGGGGAGTTGAAAAATGACACCATGAATTCTAATTGGGTCCGTGTAGTAGTGGGGGGGTGCTGAAGGGGCCATATTGGGTTATTCATAACTCTGCTGCTATGAAAAGATCTGAGGACAAAAAGGGCCTGTAGAGGAACAGAATGGTGGTGAATGGACCTCCCCATCACCAGCTAAACCTGGGACAGAGAAAACTGTCTGTCAGGATGTAGAGTGGAGAGAGAGAGGAAGCTACTAGCTACAGTAGATACTAGCTAGCTACCCCACTCTAGCCCTGGGTTGGAAAATCAGATAAATAAAAAAATGTCAGCTCCCAAGAATAGTCCTACTTTGGGGTGAGTAGCCTTCTTTACATGAACATATTTGTAGAGGCAGCGCAGGGCTCGTCCGTGTGGGGCTGGTTACCTGGTGGAGGGTGTTGGAGAGTGAAGCCAGGTCCTCGCCCTTCTCCTGCAGCTGTTTCTGGAGCTCTTGGGAGAGACATCGTTCCTTCTGCAGCCTCTGCTCTACAGCCTGCAACAGAACAATAAGACAGCCGTCACATACTGTATACTGCTCTGATGACAGTGGTGATTTATCATCATCCTCTTCGTCATCATCATCATCATCAACATTATTATCATCATCTTCTTATTCATAGTCATCATCACTCACAGACACACTCAAGGACAGACGCACAACATTACTACTACAACAGCGCCTGATTGAAGCATACTGTGGACCAAAGTAAAGTCTAATAACAGGTAAGGGTGTAACGGTACACATTGATACCGAACCGTTCAGTATCGGGACCTCGTTTCAGTCCGAACTGTGAACAAGAAAATAAAAACACTAGGCCTATAGGTTATGCCTCTGGATTAAATCTGAGTTTAAAAAAACATTTCAGGCTATTCCGTTAAAACAACTAAATCCTATGCGCACGTTGTTATCTAAATTAAAATCTTAATTGGTGCATTTCAAACTGTCCTTTAGTGGGGCGCAGCCGGGAACTAGTTATGTACAATGGCGAGTGGTGTGGTCGATAAACCAGGAGGATTCTCAATCATTATTTAAATCTCCAGTTTGGGAACATTTTGTCTTCCCAGTAGATTACAACGGCAATGGACAGAGAGAGTATGTCGCCACTGGCCAACGAGAATGGTCTATGCAGCTGCCAACACCTTTACGCCGACATCACCCCAGTATTCCTACCACCAGAGCATGATGGAAACGCAACAAAAAAAACAACACAACTTTGGTTTCCACTCTGCGTTCAAGCAGCTATTAGCAGCTGATTCTGACCGGGCCAAAGAAATTACAAGAGCGATAGGTATCTTTACAGACACGGATATGCTCCCATTCTCAGTGGTTAAGAAGAATAGGGGGTTTCAGCACCTCATGAAAGTGCTCGAGCGACGTTACGAACTGCGCCCACTCGCACTATATAAGCAAGCTAAAGCCGAAATGTGTCAATGAATTGGCTAACGCACCATGTGTTGCGCTTAGTACATATGGATGGACCTCCAGGGCTACAGAGAGCCACTTAACAGTGACAGCCCTTCACATTACCCTGGAGTGTACCGCGCTACAGACGCGCTCCCTTTATGAGAGTCACATATTTTTGTCTTTGTAAGAAAACATTATAACATAGTCGTGGTCAAAAGTTTTGAGAATGACACAAATACTAATTTTCACAAAGTCTGCTGCCTCAGTTTTGATGATGGCAATTTGCATATACTCCAGAATGTCATGAAGAGTGATCAGATTAATTGCAATTAATTGCAAAGTCCCTCTTTGCCATGAAAACGAACTTAATCCCAACAAAACATTTCCACTGCATTTCAACCCTCCCACAAAAGGACCAGCTGCCATCATGTCAGTGATTCTCTCGTTAACACATGCCGTCATCATTGCTTTGCACAAAAAGGGCTTCACAGGCAAGGATATTGCTGCTAGTAAGATTGCACCTAAATCAACCATTTATCGGATCATCAAGAACTTCAAGGAGAGAGGTTCAATTGTTGTGAAGAAGGCTTCAGGGCGCCCAACAAAGTCCAGCAAGCGCCAGGACCGTCTCCTAAAGTTGATTCAGCTGCGGGATTGGGGCACCACCAGGCAGAGCTTGCTCAGGAATGGCATCAGGCAGGTGTGAGTCCATCTGCATGCACAGTGAGGCGAATACTTTTGGAGGATGGCATGGTGTGAAGAAGGGCAGCAAAGAAGCCACTTCTCTCCAGGAAAAACATCAGGGACAGACTGATATTCTGCAAAAGGTACAGGGATTGGACTGCTGAGGACTGGGGTAAAGTCATTTTCTCTGATGAATCCCCTTTCCGATTGTTTGGGGCATCCGGAAAACACCTTGTCCGGAGAAGAGAAGGTGAGAGCTACCATCAGTCCTGTGTCATGCCAACAGTAAAGCATCCTGAGACCATTCATGTGTGGGGTTGCTTCTCAGCCAAGGGAGTGGGCTCACTCACAATTTTGCCTAAGAACACAGCCATGAATAAAGAATGGTACCAACACATCCTCTGAGAGCAACTTCTCCCAACCATCCAAGAACAGTTTGGTGACGACCAATGCCTTTTCCAGCATGATGGAGCACCTTGCCATAAGGCAAAAGTGCTAACTAAGTGGCTCGGGGAACAAAACATTGACATTTTGGGTCCATGGCCAGGAAACTCCCCGCACCTTAATCCCATTGAGAACTTGTGGTCGATCCTCAAGAGGCGGGTGGACAAACAAAAACCCACAAATTCTGACAAACTCCAAGCATTGATTATGCAAGAATGGGCTGCCATCAGTCAGGATGTGGCCCAGAAGTTAATTGACAGCATGCCAGGGCGGATTGCAAAGGTCTTGAAAAAGAAGGGTCAACACTGCAAATATTGACTTTGCATAAACTTAATGTAATTGTCAATAAATGCCTTTGATGCTTATGGAATGCTTGTAATTATACTTCAGTATACCATAGTAACATCTGACAAAAATATCACATAACACTGAAGCAGCAAACTTTGTGAAGACCAATACTTGTGCCATTCTCAAAACTTTCAACCACAACTGTAGGCCTATACAATGTCTGAGCCCTGTTTACATATTGATTTCACACACACACAAGTGATTTCAGTCACTTACTTATTTTAGTGTTGTTGTTGATGAGTAATCGGGTGTTTTCATTTAAGAAAATCCAGTGTTGTTATTCCTGATGGTGCTCTCATCAGGTATTATGACTCATCAGAAACTGAACCGTGACTCCAAAACCGCAAAATGTACTGAACTGTGGGTTTGGTGAACCGTTACACCCCTAATAGCAGGTCTTACCGTCAGCTCAAGGGTGAGTTTTTCAATCTGGTTCTTCTGATTGTCTATCAGCTGAAAAAGAGCAGAGAGGCATTGTAAACATCTGGTAGCAGCCTGGCTCATCTCTCTGAGTGACCCTGTGTGTGTGTGTGTGTGTGTGTGTGTGTGTGTGTGTGTGTGTGTGTGTGTGTGTGTGTGTGTGTGTGTGTGTGTGTGTGTGTGTGTGTGTGTGTGTGTGTGTGTGTGTGTGTGTGTGTGTGTGTGTGTGTGTGTGTGTGTGTGTGTGTGTGTGTGTGTGTGTGTGTGTGTGTGTGTGTGTTGTGTTGTGTGTGTGTGTGTTGTGGTGTAGACAAGGAGATACATTAGTTCTCAGTCTTTTAAAAAGTTCCAGATATGTCAACAAATGACAAAGCTTGAGACTAAGCTTGAGAATGTTCAAACCTTCTGCCAGTTGGGAATAACCGTATAGTAGGTAAGACAGTTGGGTTGTTACTGATACAGTAGATTTTATTATCTTAGCTTTAAGTGTGTGTGTGTGTGTGTGTGTGTGTGTGTGTGTGTATGTATGCATTCTGCGTCTCACCTTGGTGGTGGTGGCTTGCTGCTCCTGTAGCTGTGCGTTCTCTACCTCCAGCTCCTTTAGGTCCAGCATGGGAAGCCGGACCCCGTCCTCAAGACACTGCTCCACCTTCTCCTGCAGGCTGGGGGAACCAGGGAGAGACACAACTGTCATCAACACAACCACAACTAACCAGCTTTGACACGCTGTTACAACTAGAAAGAGGAGTTGCAGAGGAATATTGCTATTGTATTTCTATCATACCTCTGTACAGCAGCCACCAGCTCCTTCTCCCTCTTGCACTGGGTCTCAATCAGGTCCTCTTTCGCCTGCAGCACGGTGCAGCCCTCCTCCAGACTCTTCTCCAGACAAGCCACTGTGTCCTGCAGACCCTGGGCCTTCCCCTGAACCTCCTTCAGCTGATTTATTATTATAAACACACACAGGAACAGAAAATTAGGACTATACACACACTATCTGTGACTGTCCCAACCACACACCACAGGAACATAAGTACAAAGAGACCACTAACTAAGACTGACCTGAGCAAAGGAATATCAGTACACACTACACACAAACCACTAAATAACATTGACACTGTTTGGTTCTTATTACCATTAACAAATTGAATCTCGTTGTCTGACAATGATTTAATTATCATTACAGTAAAGATAGACAGGGCAAACACAATAGGAGATATCATCTATTATCTTCTTGTTGACCGGAGGCTGTTAATAGCCACTCTGAACTCCCATCCCATCCCACTCTACCACTACCACTAATGCAGCCTGAAATGGCTGATCTTATCAGGTCTAATGAGATTACAGAGCTGTAATGAAGATACGCCTCCGCTCCATTACCAGGTGTTAGCTTAGTACTGAGACGCTAGCTAGCAGAGACGCTAGAAGGGTCTCACTATCTGGCCACGCTAGAGGGGGCAGAAATAAGGAGCTTTCTGACCAGTGACCACAAATACAATTAACCACTAACCTTAAACTTTAACCCTCACTAGAAACTTGCCTTTAATCTTAACCCTATAACTACATCAAGATCATACAGGCTAGCCCATGTACTTTCTCATAATAATACAAAGAAAATGTTCTAACATGGCCATCAAATGACTAAGAAGCTTAGCAGAGATGCTAGCAGAGATGTCAGTAGAGATGCTAGCAGAGCCCCAGCGGTCAGCCAGTCAGACGACACCCTGAGGTGTCCAACTACCTGTTGGGCCTGGGTCTGGACCTCATCGAGGGAGGGCAGGTCAGCCAAGTACTTCTCCAGGGTCTCTATCCTCTGCTGCTTTTCCTGGTTCTGCTCACTCTCCCTCAGACACTTCTTCTTCAGGCTGCTGATGTAGCGGTCGCGCGTCTTCATCTGAAGGGCAGGAGAGAGGGTTGATTACATTCATTAGGGTTAGGATTTTGACTGGGGTTGATCCGGGGTGTGGACATGAACTAGAGTTAGGGTTAGGATTAGGGTTGTGGTGAGGCTAGTGTTATGGTTGATCTGTGTAATGTGCCCATTGGTCACCTTCTCTTCCAGCTTCTTTATGTCCTCTGTGTATTTCTGGGTGTTCTGTTTGAGGAACTCGTTGAGGTGAATGACCTCCAGCTCTGCAGCGGCCAGCTTACGGCCCAGCTCCCCTTTGTCACAGCACAGATGGCTCACCCTATCTGGGACCTGGGGCTGGGGATGGAGCTGGGGCTGGGGCTGGAGCTGGGGATGGAGCTGTGGATGGAGCTGTGGATGGAGCTGTGCCACAGGACTGTCATATGGAGACTCCTGGAAAAGAGACGAGATACATTAGTTCTCAGTCGGTAGCAGCCTGGCTCATCTCTCTGAGTGACCCTGAGTGTGTGTGTGTTGTGTGTGTGCTGTGGTGTAGTTCTCAGACAGTTGGGTTGTTACTGATACAGTAGAATAGGCTTTATTACCTTAGCGTTAAGTAGATAGGGGTCGTCACAGCGCCCCTTCTGGCTCTGGAGGACCTGTTGCGCTCTCAGCTCATTGTCCCTGATCCGGGCATGGAGCTGTAAGATCTGTTGCTTTTGTCTGGAAAACACACATCAGACATAACATGTCAGTGACACATCACCATTGATTACAGAAGCAGGTATACTGATATCCAAGTCATACTAACATGTAAAAACATCTTATGAGGTACACAGTAAAATAATCAATGGTCACACAGTGCCAGCTCTCTCCATTATCCATATTACACAGACAACAGGCCAATGAATGCCCACTCTGTGTGGATCATGTAGGACGACATATAATAACAATATATAACAACATCCATCTCAATGCCACTAGAGTTTATAGCATATAGCATAAATATCTAGCCCTGTGTACTTCTGAGTCAGCGTTGTGGACAGGTGGTAATATACGGTGCTCTCTTCTGGGCCCTGGTTGGCCAGTAAAACATGAAGATTAAGGCTGTGTGACACAATCTCCTCTCAGTGTAAATCACTTGTCTAATATTTTTCTCTTGTGGAGGGTGCTGGCTGCATGCTATCCTGATGAGACAAGCACAATGTCACTTCCCTAACCCCCCACCCTGATTTTTTTTTTTACATATTTATAATCAGCTCTTAATACCTGTATGTAGCTCTTTCCTTGACATTTTCTGCCTTTCAGCAAAATAAAATGGGAGTGTTGATTAATGCTACTGGATCGAGATAGGAATACTAAATGCTGTGTACAGATATACTGTATTAGTTTGACCACTGTTTTGTAGTGTATTCAAGGTTTAAAAAACCTTCTAAAGTTTGTAATTCCCACTTTAAAATGTCAGACTTATCCTAACAAAAAATGTATCGACCCCTACAAAAATGTACATTAATTATAATCCACATTTCCTGTTGCTGCAGGTTTATTTTCCTGCTGTGAGAAACTGGTCAAATTACTGGTCAAACTCAGGTACACTGAGTATTCAAAACATTAGGAACATCTGCTCTTTCCATGATATAGACTGACCAGGTGAAAGTCATGATCCCTTATTGATGTAACTTGTTAAATCCACTTCAATCAGTGTAGATGAAGGGGAGGAGACAGGTTAAATAATGATTTTTAAGACATTTTTTTTGTCATTTAGCAGACACTTTTTTTTCATACTGGTCCCCCGTGGGAAACGAACCCACAACCCTGGCATTGCAAACGCCATGCTCTACCAACTGAGCTACACGGGACTGCACATGGATTGTGCATGTGTGCCATTCAGAGGGTGAATGGGCAAGACAAAATATTTAAGTGCCTTTGAACGGGGTATGGCGCACCGGTTTGAGTGTGTCAAGAACGGCAAGGCTGCTGGGTTTTTCACGCTCAACAGTTTCCTGTGTGTATCAAGAATGGTCCACCACCCAAAGGACATCCAGCCAACTTGACACAACTGTGGGAAGCATTGGAGTCAACATGGGCCAGAATACCTGTGGAACGCTTTCGGCACATTACAGAGTCCATGCCCCGACGAATTGAGGCTGTTCTGAGGGCAAAAGGGGGGGGGGGTGCAACTCAATATTAGGAAGGTGTTCCTAATGTTTGGTATACTCAGTGTATGTAGGTTTGGGTAAGACTGCCACCTGGTGGTGAAATGAGTTTTCTCATTAGGCTGGGCTCAAATATGTACTGTATATAAACACTGGATTGCTGATGCTGTGTATTTGCCATTGAGAGGCTTTGAAGCCACCGGTCAGCCATATTGGCACTCCCCAGTAGGAGCAGTCCTCCATAGGAATGAATGGAATTCTACAGTATTTCAATTAAATGATTCAAGGACAAAATTACATGTATTTAAGTATTTTGTTGTTGTAGTGGGGCCAGTAACATTAGTAATCTCCAAAAATTATACTTTAAGGAAAATGTTTTTATATATTTTTGCATTTTTCTGTTTAGCTCACATAATACACTGAACAAAAATATAAATGCAACATGTAAAGTGTTGGTCCCAAGTTTCATGAGCTGAAATAAAATATCTGGGACATTTTCCATACGCACGAAAAGCTAATTTCTCTCAAATTTTGTGCACAAATTTGTTTACATCCCTGTTAGTGAGCATTTCTCCTTTGACAAGATAATCCATCCACCTGACAGGTATGGTATATCAAGAAGCTGATTAAACAGCATGATCATTACACAGGTGCACCTTGTGCTGGGGACAATAAAATGACACTAAAATGTGCAGTTTTTTCACACAACACAATGCCATAGATGTCTCATGTTGAGGGAGCGTGCAATTGGCATGCGGACTGCAGGAATGCCCACCAGAGCTGTTGCCAGAGAATTGAATGTTCATTTCTCTACCATAAGCTGCCTCCAACGTCGTTTTAGAGAATTTGGCAGTACGTCCAACCGGCCTCACAACCGCAGACCACGTGTATGGTGTCATGTGGGCGAGTGGTTTGCTGATGTCAACGTTGTGAACAGAGTGCCCCATGGTGGGGGTGGGGTTATGGTATGGGCAGGCATAAGCTACGGACACAATTGCATTTTATCGATGGCAATTTGAATGCACAAAAATATAAGGTATCTGTGACCAACAGATGCATTTCTGTATTCTCAGTCATGTGAAATCCATAGATTATGGCCAAATGAATATATTTCAATTGACTGATTTCCTCATATGAACTGTAACTCAGTAAAATCTATGAAATTGTTGCATGTTGCATTTATATTTTTGTTCATCATATAATTTTTAAGTATGCATTAAGGTGTCTGTAATAGAATAAGTGTGGCAAAAATGAATGTAGACATTAATAAATGCATTTATATAGCTTCCAAAATATTTTTTACAATGGTGGGGGAGTTCCAAGATGGAGACACGGTGGCTCCAGCACAGCGTCCCCTATCAGTCATCTAGTGTATATATAAATCAATGGCTGGGTTACACACTGATCTCTCCAATTCAAAGCCGGTCCAGCCTTTTATGTTAATGCCAGTCTATGTGTCGGTGCGGCAGGGTAAGTCTCTGTGCTGTGTGTCTGCTTTGTGCCTCTGCCTGTATTTCCTACAGTAATCTATGGGTGGGGGGTGGGGGGTGGGGGGTGGTGGGTGACCCTGTCCTGTCCACTCCCCTCCCCTGGCACTGCCCAGCCTGTCCTGTCAGCGCCAGCCTGCCACTCTGAAAGGGGACACCTCGGACGTGTGTGGCCGCATGCCCCAACACTGACATCTGCTCAAGGTCATTGAAAAAATGTGTGTCTGTGTGTGTATTTGTGCCTCGAGGGGGTGACCGTGACAGTGTGTGGCCCATAGAAAAATGAATGCAGGATGTCTGCGGTGCTGCCCCATCATATCAGAGACTCCAGTGCACTAAACCTTCCCCTGGGCAATGACAACCCTGAAAGGAAGGGACACTTTCTCTCACAATGTTTTTCCTACTGTGATGAACAGAGTCAGACACAGTGGTGGAATATAATGAGGTGTATAGAGACTCAGACAGACATGTTTGCTGCTCCAACACAATAAGGCTGTTGGTGTGTTCCTCCTAGAATTGTTGTGGTGTGTTTTTCTCCAGCCTAAATTCATTCCCCTGCTTGGCCCAATGATTCAGTGCAGCCCTGATGGTTTAAATGTCCACCCTCCTCTGTACTCTGTATTACTGACCTGTCAATCTCTAGCTCTCTCTGTCGCAGCAGGCCCTCTTTGATCTTCACCAGAGTGTTCACAGGAAGGGAGGCTCCGCCCAGCATCTGCACAGGAAACATACACGTCGATCAGCGCATTTACAATAACATCTAGTAAACAGGCCGATACACATCATCATCCTCATCAATATAAAGGTTTAACTAAGAGACACCCAAGCAAGAGATTACTGTAGTCCCTATCCAAACACACGAGCCACAGCTTCATTAAAACGTTCTATCTGTCTTCAAAGCTCATGTACACCTCCACACACTGTGCCTTCACACATTCCTACAGTATATCCTGTATAACCTAGCCCTCCTCTATGCAGGCGTGTGGGAGAGGGTGTTGCGGCCAGGCAGGCAGGCGTCTCTTTAACATTGCATCAGTGGGTGACTAATCTCTTGTAGCATAACAAGGCTGTATAGCATAACAAGGCTGTATAGCATAACAAGGCTGTATAGCATAACAAGACTATATAGCATAACAAGGCTATATAGCATAACAAGGCTATATAGCATAACAAGGCTGTATAGCATAACAAGGCTGTATAGCATAACAAGACTATATAGCATAACAAGCTATATAGCATAACAAGGCTATATAGCATAACAAGGCTGTATAGCATAACAAGGCTGTATAGCATAACAAGGCTATATAGCATAACAAGGCTGTATAGCATAACAAGGCTGTATAGCATAACAAGGCTATATAGTATAACAAGGCTGTATAGCATAACAAGGCTGTATAGCATAACAAGGCTATATAGCATAACAAGGCTGTATAGCATAACAAGGCTGTATAGATAACAAACTATATAGCATAACAAGGCTGTATAGCATAACAAGCTGTATAGCATAAAAGCTATATATATAAAAGGCTTGTCAAGCTTTAATCCAAAGGCTGTATAGCATAACAAGGCTATATAGCATAACAAGGCTGTATAGCATAACAAGGCTGTATAGCATAACAAGACTATATAGCATAACAAGGCTGTATAGCATAACAAGGCTGTATAGCATAACAAGGCTATATAGCATAACAAGGCTGTATCGCATCATAACAGGCTGTATAGCATAACAAGACTATATAGCATAACAAGGCTGTATAGCATAACAAGGCTGTATAGCATAACAAGACTATATAGCATAACAAGGCTGTATAGCATAACAAGACTATATAGCATAATAAGGCTGTATAGCATAACAATACTATATAGCATAATAATAATAATAATATGCCATTTAGCAGACACTTTTATCCAAACAAGGCTGTATAGCATAACAAGGCTGTATAGCATAACAAGGCTGTATAGCATAACAAGACTATATAGCAGAACAAGGCTGTATAGCATAACAAGACTATATAGAATAACAAGGCTGTATAGCATAACAAGGCTTATAGCATAACAAGACTATATAGCATAACAAGGCTGTATAGCATAACAAGACTATATAGCATAACAAGGTCTATGTGCCAGATGGCTGGGCTGAAGCAGGGCCCCTGGTGAGGAGCTGTCACAGAGATCACGCTATGCCCTTCTAACAGGGTGCTGAAAAGGTCCCATTATAAGGTCAGGTATGTCCTCGCTCCCAGCTACTGCAGGAGCACAGGGCACAGGGCAGAGAGAGCCGAGTCATGTTCAGTAGGCATGATCGTCTTTTTAATCGGAAAGACAAAAATGAGTTATTTATATAATATTTGACTAAAACAGAATAATTACAAACCTTGCATTCATTTGTATACGATCACATGTATCTCTCTATTATGCGTGGGAATACTTGGGAACAGATTTTCAAAATTACAATCACTTGGAGCTGATTTCCTGGTGTTTTTATAGTCTTTTATGTCTAACAATAAAATAAATAAAAAAGTGGCCTCCCGAATGGCGCAGCGGGTTTCGATCCCGGGCTGTGTCGCAGCCGGCCGCGACCGGGAGACCCATGAGGCGGTGCACAATTGGCCCAGCGTCGTCTGGGTTAGGGGAGGGTTTTTAGCGAGTCCTTGTGACGGCGGGTGCATGCACGCTGACTTCGGTCGGCAGCTGTACGGTGTTTCCTCTGACACATTGGTGTGGCTGGCTTCCGGGTTAAGCGAGCAGTGTGTCAAGAAGCAGTGCGACTTGGCAGGGTCGTGTTTCGGAGGACGCATGGCTCTCGACCTTCGCCTCTAACCTAATCCGCACGGGAGTTGCAGCGATGGGACAAGACTGTAACTATCAATTGGATATCATGAAAATTGGGGAGAAAAAGGGGTAAAATATATATACAGTTGAAGTCGGAAGTTTAAATACACCTTAGCCAAATACATTTAAACTCAGTTTTTCACAATTCCTGACATTTAATCCTAGTAAAAATTCCCTGTCTTACGTCAGTTAGGATCATCACTATATTTTAAGAATGTGAAATGTCAGAATAATTGTAGAGAGAATGATTTATTTCAGCTTTTATTTCTTTCATCACATTCCCAGTGGGTCAGAAGTTTACATACACTCAATTAGTATTTGGTAGCATTGCCTTTAAATTGTTTAACTTTGGTCAAACGTTTCGGGTAGCCTTCCACAAGCTTCCCACAATAAGTTGGGTGAATTGAGCCCATTCCTCCTGACAGAGCTTGTGTAACTGAGTCAGGTTTGTAGGCCTCCTTGCTCACACACACTTTTTCAGTTCTGCCCACACATTTTCTATAGGATTGAGGTCAGGGCTTTGTGATGGCCACGCCAATACCTTGACTTTGTTGTCCTTAAGCCATTTTACCACAACTTTGGAAGTATGCTTGGGGTCATTGTCCATTTGGAAGACCCATTTGCGACCAAGCTTTAACTTCCTGACTGATGTCTTGAGATGTTGCTTCAATATATCCACATAATTTTCCTTCCTCATGATGCCATCTATTTTGTGAAGTGCACCAGTCCCTCCTTCAGCAAAGCACACATTTAAGCACCTTTGAACGGGGTATGGTAGTAGGTGCCAGGCGCACCGGTTTGAGTGTGTCAAGAACTGCAACGCTGCTGGGTTTTTAACGCTCAACAGTTTCCCGTGTGTATCAAGAATGGTCCACCACCCAAAAGACATCCAGCCAACTTGACACAACTGTGGGAAGCATTGGAGTCAACATGGGCCAGCATCCCTGTGGAACGCTTTCGACACCTTATAGAGTCCATTCCCCAACATTATTGAGGCTGTTCTGAGGGCAAAAGGGGTTGCAACTCAATATTAGGAAGGTGTTCCTGATGTTTTGTACACTCAGCGTATAGCTCAACAGAAACATTTAAAACCCTGAAACCATATCTAAAACCCTGGAGAATCCCGTAGGTATCCTGATATGGTGGACTGGACATTGTATCTACAACACTAGGATCTCGTTCTGACAACTGTGGTGGTCTGGCAGTCACCATCCACTTCAGCCTTAGTAGCCCTAGGTGCTATGGTGCTATGTGCACAAACAATGCACACCAATAACATGGATCCTGGACACATAACCACATTCTTCGTTTTACAGCGCCTCTTATCAGATGTGTGTAACCCCTCAGTAATCCTCTCTTTAAAATAGTTCCAGTGATGGTCAGACTTTGAGTTAACCTGCCTGCCACCAGGTTAAAAATACATCTCTTATTAATGCCCTCCCCAGCAAACCGGGAACATTACCAGGACATTAGCTAACATTCCCATTAAACCTGCAATATTTGGGTGATCCGACATAATTCACGTAGAAATGTGCGTTAAAGATCTGTGATTCTCATTGAAAGCAAGTCTAAGAAGCAGTAGATCTGTTCTATGTGCGCTATTTCTATGCTTCCCGTTCTTAAGTTTTGTTTTTGCGTCTTTTACTTTGGTTTCGTACACCAGCTTCAAACATCTGAAAATAAAATATTTTTGGTTACGGAAAATAGATTTCAAAACGGGTAAGATGGTACAATGATTCTCTACACTATACTTGCTTTTTTTTGGTCAAAAACTGAAATTAGGCGAATTATTAGAATTTTTGCAACCAGGAAATGACAAAGCGATTTCTGCATAGTGCACGTTTAAGTTCTATTTAGGATTCTATCTAACATTAGTATGATAACATCCCTAAAACATTCAAATAATGTTTTTGATAACAAAATGTTTTTAAATGGAATGTTCTCCTAAAACTCACTAAAATGTTGTGCACAACATTTGTAACAACCACCATAGAACATTCCCGGAAGGTTCTTATTAGGTTTCCAGGTAATGTAATAACACAATGTCCCAGTAATGTTTTTAGAACCACAAACAAAATGTGGGAACATATCTCTTGTGACGTCCCCATGCTGTTCCCACAACCTAATGAAACATTCTGGGAACCTTTAAAGAACAGACAAAATGTGTTCTGGGAACATTCTTGCAACATCAGGCGAATTATTTATACAAACATTGTATAATCATAAGCACAACTGGACAGTTTTTGTGTTATTAGAACTTTTGGGGCAACCTAATGAATGTTGTGGGAACATTCACAGAACCAATTTTGGTTTGCTGGGTCATATATCAGCTGTACAGCTCTTCTCTCTGTCTCTCTAGCCCTGGTAGAACACGGTGCTGAGGACCCACCCCCACGAGGCTTTGGTGTAGTGACAACAAACAAGAGGTGGGGAGTTTCCACAACACTGAGCAGCTGTGTGAAGAGGACAGGCCAGGGTAAGACAGACAGGACAGGACAGGGTAAGACGGGACAGGGTCTGGGTGCCACTGCTGGCTTTGGCCCTCTCATCACCACACAGACACACAGCAGGCCTGGGACAAGGCTAAAAACATACGTCAATGCTCGTTAGCTCTGACAATATCGCCAAGCATTAGTGTTTACGTGTTTGTTTTACGTGTTTTGCTGCAAAGGAAATGGGGGAAAGCCGCAACTCCCTTTTGTTTTAGGCTGGTCTAAATAGAGCGTAAATACAGAGCATGACAAGCTGAGGAGATGTCCCTGTGTAGAGGAAACTCTGTGTGTCTCTGGGAGCAGGAACAACCCTCAGGGAGCGGAAGTCACTGTCCAAACAGACCACGGTCTAAATTAGGACTGATGGTTTCTGTCCTGTCCTGCCTCTCTCAGTGACATTGCTGTG